GCAGTGCCGTCTTAACCTATATAATAGCCCCGGGCGAAACACCGACTATGGACCTCTTTTTTAATATTCTCTATGTTTTTTCTTCACTGCAATTTTTATACTTGAGTTCTAAGACCTGAAACAAATAGAAAAAAAATATCAATTCTTTAAAAGACGAGAAAACAATCACATGAAACGTTTTTTTCTAGCTTTAGTTGATGCAAAATCATTGATAATTAATTCAAAGTTCATACTCTCCAAAATTTCTTTCTCAATGCATAAAATTGATAAACCATTCAATCTTTCTTGAGACATTGATGATCTCAAATAATTTTTCAACAATTTTAGCTTAGAGAAACTTCTTTCAGCTGATGCAACTGTTACAGGCGTGGTTAGTAAAATCCGATAAGCAATATCAACATTTGGATAACAAGCCATATCTTTTACCAACTCAAGAACCTGAATCGGTGTCATTGCTTCATCGGATAAACTCACCTGCAACATTCTTAACTCAGAGAAAAACTCATCCAAATCAACATCTGATGAATTGTCATCAGAGAATGTTTTATAAAAATTAGTGCAGTTTCTTTTTAATTCAGTAGCATCAAGTGACTTTAGCTTCACCGTATTATATAAAAAACCAAAAATATTTTCAAATGTTCTCAGTTGCTCAAATCTATCATTCAACGAAGTAATTGCCATATCCACAACAACAAGAAAATAATCGACTTTAAAAGCATCTTCAGATGTTTGAATTACTTCATCATGATTAGTTTCATCAAACTGTTTTTTTTTAAAACATCGACGCTTTTTTGGGAATATAGCATCAATATCCATCTCATGAGCAAGATCTTTAGCCATGATCATACTAGAGCTAAATCCATCATTTCTATATTTTTCAAAATAAGACATCACATCTGCTACTTGCTTCATGGCATTATCAATACATATGGTTTTGTCTTGCAATTTCTTACTTACCATGTTAATAGCAAATAAAATGTCATGCCAAATGACAATACCAAGCAAAAACTCAAAATTCTCAAGTGCATCAACCAAACTTTCAGTTTCACTTTTCGAAATAGCATCATCACACAAATCATATAGTTCTAGTAAAGCTGATCTTATTTGAGGAGCCTGATATCTTATAGCTTTTACACTTTTTATTCGACTCTCCCATCTAGTATTAGACAAACTTTTTAAGGTGAAACATGAAATATGCTTAAGTAAAATATTCCATCTTTTTGTAGAGCTCGAAAATACAGTGTATATGCGTTGCACAATCCCAAAAAAAGAAACAGCTTTGACACAAGAATGTGCCATGTCACTAACAACAAGATTCAAACTATGACAAGCACATGGCATAAACAATGCTTTTGAATTAATTTCAAGCAATCGTTTTTGAACTCCTTGGTGTTTTCCTTTCATATTAGAACCATTATCATAACCTTGTCCCCTCACATTTTTAATATCAAGATCAAGAGATTTAAGAGCACTTTGTAATTCATTAAAGAGGCCTAGTCCCGATGTATCATCTACCTTAAGAAACTCTAAAAAATACTCTTCTATTCTAATATTTTTATTTGACATATTCACACAACGTACAATTATACTCATTTGCTCTTGATGACTCACGTCTGGTGTACAATCAAGGATAACAGAAAAATATTTTGCTTCTTTAATAACACTTGTGATAGAAAATCTGACCTTATATGCGAGAAGAGAAATTAGCTCATTTTGAATGTTATGACCGAGATAATGGTGATGTAGCTCATGAGTTTGGATGCGTCTTATATGATCCTGCATAATCACATCAAATTCAGCAATCATTTCAATCATTCCCAAAAAATTACCATTACTATCTTGGTAAAGTTTCTCATTTGATCCTCGAAATGCTAAATTTCTTTTTGAAAGACATTTCACTACAGCAATTATTCTATATAAAACTTGTCTCCATCGTTCTTTTTCTTTTGCAATTTCTTGTTGAAGTTCTTTATCAATTGTCAAACTATTTTGAAATCTAATTTTGACTTCATTCCAAGTTCTCATGTTAGCCATATGCTCTTCACTTTTTTCATGACCTTTTAGTCTATCACCAATACGTTTCCAATCTCTTAATCCTTCATTTGCTAATAAACTTATGTTTCCATGAGATTTAAACAACTTACAACAAAAACAGTAAACTTTATCAACATGATTTGAGTAAATTAACCATTTTCTATCAACTGTCTCCCCATTACACAACTTTCTAAAATAATGCCTATATGCAAAATGTCTTTTTGTTTTTTCATCAATAGGAAATTCAAGATTCATGTCTCTTTTTGGTTCTTTTTCAATTAACAAATCTCTTGTTTTACTATCAAGATTATTCCAATTTCTAGGATCATAGATATCAAAAGGAAGATTTGGTGGCTCATTAGTGTTAATATTTTCAAAATTAGATGGATTTGACTCTTTTTCATGAGATTCAACATTAGCTTCTGTTCTAAAACTCTCACTATTTGTGTTTTTTTTCTTAATAAACTTATCTAAAGCCCCTCTTTGAGATTCTACAAATTGTTCATCAAGTTTTCTTTTTTTTCTCTGCTCATTTCCAGACACCATCTCTTTTTAAAATAAAAGAACAAAATCACCTGGATTTGATGTACTTAACGAGACCCACCAACAAAAGTTTTATAACTGCATAAAAAAATAAATTCAGAAATAGTTATAAAATAAAAATCTGAAACAATAAACAAAGACACAAATACAATTGATTAAACATACCTCTAAGAAAAACGATTTCACTAACAGATCTATGAATAGAATAAGATTCTTGGTTTGTGATTTGCGTTAACACACGGCTTGGCTTTGGTTCCAGAGCTTTTTTGTCAACGGGAAAAAATTGGAAAAGGTGAGAATACATTTTTTTTTACGTTTTGTCTATGTTAAGTGAATTAGGTTTGATTAATAATGGGCTTTATGATAATTTAAAGGATTGGAAAAGACCCATAAAACAACACAAAATTTTTTATGGACCTATGGACCCATGGCAAGGGCCCATGTTGCCATGGGTAAGAGCCGGGGCTGNTCAACGGGAAAAAATTGGAAAAGGTGAGAATACATTTTTTTTTACGTTTTGTCTATGTTAAGTGAATTAGGTTTGATTAATAATGGGCTTTATGATAATTTAAAGGATTGGAAAAGACCCATAAAACAACACAAAATTTTTTATGGACCTATGGACCCATGGCAAGGGCCCATGTTGCCATGGGTAAGAGCCGGGGCTGCGTTCAAGGTAAATTTTGCTACATATTCTTACTTTTATTTGTTTGTGCACTGAGACTCTTAATTGATTTGTTTTTTTGTTTGCTTATCCTGCAAGTTTTAGGTTTACTGGAGTTACAGAGCTATAACAATGTTAAATCTTGAACAAAAGAAGTTGAACAATCTTGGTTCACAAACACGAATCAAAAACAGAAACCAAGGCGTAAACCGGGGCCAGATCCTAGTCCAAACCACAACAGGTCTCCAAGCAGCAGAAATGCAGCATCCCCAGAGGGATCAGTGAAGCAGTCAAGACATAACCGAAGCAAACACAAATCAGTGGACTCATCATCTAGTGAGTAGTGATCAAGAACCTTCAGTACGTAGAATACACGGAAGCTTCTTCTAACCATTTTCTTGATGGTTCAACTCCTCCAATAAAGGCTACATCGCGACCAAGGAAACTAAAAGGATCAATAGGAGGAGAAATATCAATGAAGAGATCATCAAAAGGAAAACCACCCGAGAGTTCAATTGATGATATCTCTTACCACATCATCTGACATATACATTAAAAACAAAAACATGAAATGTAACGTGTATATAAACTGTGTAATCATCATGTACTAGATGTTTTTCGCCTATTTCTTGCGAAGATCAATGCCAGCTTTCTTGGCAACAGCATCGAGACCGTTTTTCTCAATGGTTTTTAAAGATTTAGTAGACAAACGAAGTTTAACAAAACGTTTGCCAGCTTCCCACTAAAACTTTCTTGTACTGTATATTGTTTTTTTTAACTTCCCAGTGAAAGGACATCCTTCCCAAGACAAAAAGAAAACCAGTTTCAAGAAGGAAAAACAGGCAGTGTTTATGACAAAGGTGTTACGGTACAAGACACTATGCAACACAACTAAGACATGTACACAGTTTTACTCTCTCGCAAGGTATGCCGTGTACTTTTACTGGGAAGAAAGCAAACATAGCAAACAAAGTGTCCTCTAATCAAAGATGGTGATGACGAAAACCCAATCTGATCAGTCTGAACTATTTAAATAGATTTTTTCAAGGGTTTTAAAATATAGATGTTTTAAAACAACTGTTAAGTTGTCAAAATAAGAGTCAAGCCATTCAAACGGTAAGTTTCTTTGACTCCGGTTTGAAACGGTATGTAGGTGGTCAAGATAAGTAAGAATAAGATTACTGGTCACTTTTTTGTGTGGGGGAAGTGGGTCAAGATTCTTTCTTTACCCACCTGGGAACCTGGTTTTGTATAGCTCTTTAGAAACGTATTCCGCTTTCACAATCCTGTTGTCGTAGAGCCGTCCGTGCAACGAATGCGCTGCAACGCGTGTTGCTTCTGGTCTTCCATACTCTATGAAGATACAGCCTGGCTCAAACACAACCTTGGGGTCTTGTTCTTCCTCTATCTTGTCGTCACTATCCCATCTTGTCTTGACAGCACGTGCTGATCCTCCTTGCGGATTCTCTGGCTCATCTTGAGAAGCACGAGCTGATTCTTCTTCTTGCGGAATCTCTGGCCCATCTTGAGCACGGGCTGATCCTACTTCTTGTGGACTCTCTGCGTCATCTTGAGTACGAGCTGATCCTACTTCTTCTTGCGGAATCGCTGCCTTACTTTCCCCGATAAGCTTTTCGCAATTGCCTTGTTCAGTGGAGTCCTGATCTTCATTTGCTTGAGTGATTGTCTCAAGCGCAGTAACTGAGCACGGTTCACATAACTCGTTGTCACCCGTCGAACTCTCTGATTTGACAACGTCTCCATTATCCACATTGTCTGCTCTGTCATCCATTTTCTTGGATACCTCCTCTCTCTCCTGTATTACTGACACATTCATTACTTTAGATTCTGGGTTCAAAGATGCATCTGGTTTGGAACCACTAATATCTTTGCTCTCATATCCCACGATGTTTATCGACTTAATAACACCAAACCTGCATCAGAACAAGTCGCAGAGAGGTCTAGTTTCTTAATTTACTAGCTTTTTAAGAGCTCAATGAACTAACAAAAAGAACAATCTCAGAGCTTAACCTGGCACATTCTAGACGTACATCCTCCAGAGTTTCTTTCACTTCTGGCTCGGAAAGCGAAGGTAGATCTTCTGGAGCAACCTGTCAAACAATAAAGAATAAAACTTTAGTAATAACCTCACAAAGCTTATGTGGGTGATATTTACAAGAACAAAATTAATCATATTCTCACCAAGTTCTTAAGCTTTAAGATATGCTTAGGCTTGCCAAGAAGTGGTTTTGCGTGCTCTGGTATCCCATAGAATGGTGGATTCTCAGTTGCCTGAAACATATTATATACCACATCACTCTCACAAGTAACTAAATCAGTTTCTGTTCTATGTCAACCATTCAAACAGACCATGCGCTAACAAAAAAAAGTAAAGCTGGGTCATAAAATTACCGCTACAGATGATGCATCAGGAAGTGCTAAAACGGCAGTTATTACACTGCCACCTAACTTCATACCATTAAGGCCAGCACAAGCTTTGGGGGTAACAGATCCATCAGTGTACTGAAGTACAGAATTGTATATGAGTTAAAACATGTGCGGATATTTGCCGATTATGATGAGTTATCTGGGATGAGTTTCAAGGTATATCTAAACTATAGAATGATATTTAATATTGGCCACAGAGAAATCCAAGATAAAAGTATCTTCTTACCTCTAGGAAAGCGCATCGCTGACTGAGATCATTGTTGATCACGAACCGGTATGCTTTTATAGGTCCAAAGACGCTCACAATCTCCTTTAGCTGAAAAAAAGAGTAAAGGAGGATCAGAAAAATCCTTGAATTTGAAACCTCATAGAATTTAGAATTACAAGGGAACTAGGACCAATAGGAGACTGAACGTGTCAAAAGTTTTCAAGGATTACAGTAATCATACCATTTCAGATGAAATTGCTTTTGGAAATCCGCCAATAAAGATCTGCAACAGGTATATGAGAATCAACAGCTAGCTTGACAGAAAAATAAAATTAAGAGCACGCAACTAGCAAATCCAAAAACATTTTAACGCTTTCAACATTGTCAACCATAAAGATGCCTTAGATGCAGAGGGAATTGAAATTATATTCTTAGTTAGGTGGTCTGATATGGCTTCCCAAGTTAAACCAATATGAAAAAAGTATTTAATCGTAACACCTACCAATACCAGCGAAAGTTAACACGAAAGTTGATATATTCTAAAATCTTCATTTTAAACTATTACAAACGAATTAAACGGGAAGGGATAAAACCTGTCAGGATGAACAACTAAATATGCCAATGTTTTGGTCTCTAGAGCATATTTTTTTTGTGGTATGGAACTATATGCACATACTTAAACCATGGTTCACTGACCTATACAGTTATCTTATCAAAAAAAAAATTAGAGAGATATTTAAAATATATTCTACATTCGTTGTCAATATGAAAGTTTTACCCACTGTCAGAAGAAGCAAATTTGGGGAATCAATTTCTACCTTGTTCGATGAGTCCTCCACATTGTCACTTAGTGCATTTGTGGCTGGCTCCTTTTTCTCCAATTCAACGCTCTGCATGAAAATAGCAACCGTCTGAAAACCTGCTTCATGGATGGTAACCATAACATAGCTCAGAAATCATAGCAAAAAACACAGTACTGGTTTACAAGGCCAAGTAGAAGGACACAGTCTACAGCCTTGATAATCAGTCGGTTTTCAAAGACATTCCTACAGCTAGTCAACCGAAAATCACAGAAAGAACTGATCAAACGTGAAGAACAAAGACAAAAAAATCCTCAATCGCTAGGCTCAAGAAAAGGAGGTGGTTTTTCCACCTTGTTAGGGCCTCAAATCTCATTAATAATAGCTTTGTGCAAAGGTAATTCTGCGTATCTTTTACCATTTACAAGAAAGTTGATCATAAGCAATGGAACACGGATCATCAAGAGAAGGAGGCAAAGTTTAGGGCATAAATGTAATTCTTAGAGCTATATCATGAATAGCATCGAGATAACAATCAATACAAAGTATCTGATCCTGCTAGGAATAAAACACAGAAATAACGCTCACTGTCACCTAGGCAGGTCTTTAACTACCTATGCAAGTTATGCAAGTATGCAAGCAGATTGATAAATAAATAAAGCAACAAAGAACACAAGAACGTTAAACGAGGATTCACAAAGGAATCATAAGGATGATTCTTATAAATTCCCTAAAGCCCAAAAGAGAGGAAATTGCAAAGAAACTTGAAACACAATAAACTCGTCACTACACCTGGGAGTCTTCTTATTTAGCAGACAGCTTCATCAGCCTCCTGAATGTGAAATATGATATACCCAACATAAACTCCCTATTTAAGAGATTCCAACAGACGACAGTCAGAACACGATTTCACATGTGGCTTGAAAACATATTATTTCAAGTGCATGAATCCATTAACTCTCAGTGTCGCCTATTCCCTTTTAAATTAAGACGTCCAAATTTCTATTCTCAGAGTCAAAGGGCATCCCTGGGAAAAAAATCGCTAGGATTTAAACATAATGAACTAATCCAATTCCAAACCACCTGTTTCCCACCATATATGCCTATAGTTGTAAGAACAACAGGTGTGATTTATGAACTGTCTTGCATTCACTGAACTCTCACGAACAATACATAGTTTATAAACTAATGGCATTATGCTTCCATCGAGACTGCCTTCAAAGACAGGGCCATGGGTGTTTTTTGGTTCCAATAAATGAAAATTAAGCAGTGGCACAAGTATACAAATCTGAGACTGAATCATACATGAAGCGATGATCATAAAGAAGTCTACTAATTTCTCTGATTATAGAAATTAGTATGCAAACATAGTCAATCAAGATGCTTCAACAGAAAGAAAAAAAAAGCATCACTACGAGAGAATGTGGACTGACAACACCATACTTATGTGCTCTAAAATATTGGTCCGGATAAGGTCTTAAGTCTGATATATTTTTCTAGTTCGAATCTCTATCTGGATCAAAAGAGGACTGGTGCTCACTACTCGTGAATAGTGCAACATAAACTTGCACCGGACAGTCATACATGGCAATAATTGAATGCCAAATTGCATTCAGGCTTAAATCATTAAAAAGAAGCCACACAGGTCTCAATTGTATTGAAAGTGGAAAAATAACCATTGAGTCTTAATGATGGCACCAAAGATATATGTAGATATTTGAGCTAGCTTGCAAAATTAACCAGAAGACTATTTACTGTTAAACATGTGCAGCAGTGGCAAGAGTTCTAGAGAAAGAAAGTCTTACTGTTGTCTCGACATAGTCTTTAGGGCGTCGAATTTTGAGGTTTGAACCCGCAAAGGAGCAGCCATCCAAGGAGAGTGCAGCAGAAGCATCCTGTGGTGTAAGGAACTCAACTAGCGCCTGATTTTTTTCCTTGTTTATCTGCAATTAAAGGACAAAATACGATCAGCTATATTCCACAAACATAACACGAGTGGTATGAGTAAGGAGTGCATACATCAGAAACTTACAATACAACTTATACATGGTTCGCTTCCTTTTATGTGATTGGAGCCTGAAGATAGCATATAGCCATTGAAGCATTCAATCAGAGACTTCTCAGAGGCCGAATCTGGCACATTTTCTGCGTAAAGTCTCCTCATACGCCTGGTGGATTCGGTCAGTTGAACAGAATCAATTGAAGTGGTCTGCCTTGCTGGTGGCGTCCTAAAAGATGCCTCTATATGTGGCTTCAAAAGCGTCAAGGAAGCCTCGCTCATGGTAGGATATGCTATCTGAGTGGCTGGTTGGAGACCAGAAAAACCTGAGTTCGAGAACATGCCAGCCACAACAGGAGGTGGAAAATCCCATTTAGCACCCTTTTTCTCTGAAGAAAGGTTAGATGGAGAAGCAGCCTTGACAGAGGCCTCCTCCCTTCTTTTCCGTGGTGAGTATCCACCAAGTTCACTATTGGAAGAACTATACCGTCTAGGCTTGTTATCATTATCATTAAAGTGATGCTTTCCTGACCTATCCTTAACAGCATTTTCGGAGCGCTCCTCATGGCCTCTTTTATGACGCGATGTAGTCTTTTCAGCCTTTGGTAAGGGAGATGACCTTTTCTGCCTATCCTGCCCATGATCTCGACTTCTTGATCTCCTTCTCTCTCTCATGTCACGTTGATCCGATTTGGGCTGTTCTCTTTTCTCCGATCGCTCTGAAACTTTAACACTGTGAACTTTTTCTGGATCATGCCTCCTCGACTCATTTCTCTCCCTATTCTTCATATGATCTCCATTTTGATTCTTTCTCTTGTTTCCACTGTCAGGTTTCATACTATTTTCATTTCGAGGTATGTCTGCCACCACTAGACTTCTAAGACGCTTCCTACTACCAGCTATTTTGTCAAGAGCATTTCTTCCTTGTTCTCCGCCTGTTTCCTGTGGATGAATCTGCTTTTCAGTTGTCTTTTCAGTATGCCTTTCTCTGTTTGCCTTCATTTTGGTATCTACACCACGCCCATCTCTATCTGTCCTTGTTTTCGTTTCAGTTGTAGTAATTTCTTCTTCAACCCTTATTTTTCTGTTTGCAGCAAGGTCTTCCTTCTTCATCTTTTTATCTGGTCTTTCCTCCCTAAAACTAGAATAAGTTTCTTCTTTCTTTATTCGTCTATCCTTAATATGTTCTTCCACTATTTTTTCTTTAGATGTAGAACCCTCTCCTTTTGCCTTCCGTTTTCTATTCCCAGCAGGCTCTTCCTCTTTTGTTGGTTTATCTAGTTTTTCTTCTCTAAAACAAGAAATGGCTTCCCCCTTCTTTCTTGATCTGTCCTTATCATGTTCTTCAAGCCTCTGTTTCTCAGATCTATGATACCCTCTTTTAGACTCATGATAGTCAGAAACCTTCTCAACAAGATCGTTACTCAGTAATTGAGCTGCTCCTATAGGATCCTCTTTCACTGAATTTTCTTCTCTAGAACTAGATAAGGTGTCTTTCTTTTTTGAACTGTCCTTAACGCGTTCATCACGTCTTAATTTCTTGGATCTGTCATGCTCTCTTCTGGACGCACGGTAGTCAGAAACCTTATCAACAGTGTCCTTTAGCATTGGTTTATCTAGTCTTTCATCCCTAGAACTAGAAGTAGCGTCTTCTTTCTTTCTTGAGCTGTCCTTGACACTTTCACGACTCACTTTCTTGGATCTTTCAAGCTCTTTTTCAGATGCATGATAGTCCGGAACCTTCTCAACAAGATCATTACCCAGTAACTGAGCTGCTTCAACATGGACCTCTTTCCTCGGTTTATCTAGTCCTTCATCTCTAGAACTAGAACTAGCATCTTCTTTCTTTCTTGAGCTGTCCTTTACACTTTCACGACTCACTTTCTTAGATTTTTCAAGCTCTTTTTCAGACGTATGATAGTCCAAAACCTTCTCAACAACATTATTACCCAGTAACTGAGTTGCCTCAACATGCTCCTCTTTCCTCGGTTTATCTAGTCCTTCATCCCTCGAACTAGAGGTGCCATCTTCTCTCTTTCTTGACCTGTCCCTGACACGTTCTTCATGCCTTACTTTCTTGGACTTATCATTCCCTTTTCCAGAGGCATGATCGTCAGAAACCTTCTCAGCAAGATCGTTATCCAGTACCTTATCTACTCCAACAGTGCCCTCGTTATCTAGTTTTTCATCTTTGGAGCTAGAAATGGCCTCTTCTTTATTTCTTGAACTGTCCTTAACAAGCTCTCCATGCCTCAGTTTCTCCGATCTATCAGATTCATGATAGTCAGAAATCTTCTCAACAACATCATTACCCACTAACTGAACAGCTCCCAAAGCCTCTTCTATCCTCAATTTATCCTGTCCTTCCTCCCTGGAATTAGAAATCGCATCTTCTTTCTTTCTTGAACTATTCTTACCTCTTTCTTCACGACTCACTTTCCTGGACTCATGATAGCCGGAAGCCTTGTCAACAAGATCATTACCCAGTAAGGGAGCATCCACAGACTCTTTCCTCTTCCTCCTCTGCATAATCTCCTCAACGCTTGTTGGTCTTGTTCGCGCAGCAGATCCATCAGGCTTTTCCTTTTGATCTCCAACTTCCTTCATCCTGCTTCCTCAAAGGAGAAAAATGTCAGATTATTTTATTCCTTTTTGAGATAATTAACAACAACAAGCAACAATCATCAGTAGAGATTGAACATAAACCAATGCACAAGTGGGTTCATGGATTTGTTTAGCAATTGAATCTAATCGCATTTAAGCAATCCAAAAGAACCAGACGGCGCAGAGAAGAAGAAGAAAAAAAAACTCCAAAACTCAGCAATGGTAAAAACCCTAGATGTGTTAAAATGGATAAGTAATCGTGATTCTCTCGAGACTATATACATCCCAAAGAGAAAGAAGAATTAACCTTGAAATGAGAGACGGAAAAGGGAGAAAGAAACGAAGGATTAGTGTCTCACCTGAAATAGCTTCGCCGACGGCGAAGGTAGGCGGCTCCGTTAAGAGAGTTTCGTCAACTTTTTCGCGAGCGATGGATTAGAGAGAGAGAGAGAGAGAGAGAGAGAGAGAGACCTCGCCTCGGCAGATTTTTGTCTGCTGGATATTTTAAAAATCTAATAGTATTACTTAATTTGTCTTATTTATTGAGAAATCACCAGATCTCCCTTTTCTTTTTATTTAGTTTTAATTTAACCCAAAGTATATTCCACATTGACAAAAAGAGTAATGTCTCCTTTAGTATTCTAAAATCGATGTCGATGATGAAAATATAATCACCCCATTTGCCACCGAATTCAGAATATAAAAAAATACATCAGTATGACCTTTTTAAATTAATAAATTATAAACTAATATACACTAAAAATTTCTATAAAATAATATAATTTTATAATCTTAAATTGAATTTTTGATTCAAATAGTATATCAATATATTAATAATTTTTATAAATTAATAAAAAATTATATTTTTGGTGTAATACCAACATTATTAATTTATACGTTTTATTGTAACTTGCTCTAGAATTTTTAGGGAAAATTTGATGTCTAATCAAATACTAAAATGAAATTAAGTAATTGACATTGATTTTGACATATTAAATAAACTAACCTTTAACATCCATTTGATCCGGGTTCTTATTAGTTAGTACCCGGTTAAAAAAGAACTGAGTAAACGATGTTGGTACTTTGCTGTGGATAAGAGTAAATCACTATTATTTACTATCAAATTATGTAGTGAAATCGACGTCACATACTTATTTACCACACAAATTTTCAGATCTCTTCATAAATTATGTTTTATTTTGGAATATTAAAAACATTGTTCTATTCTATTTAATTAAATTATAATAGTTCTAAAATTGTATTTTTTTGTAGGAGTAAAATGGTATGTCATTGCTATCTACAGACCTTGGCCTCATTAACAATGTGAGTTTTCTACTTTATAAACAAAAAAAAAAAGAATGTTTGACTTAGTTTAAATTAATAGAATGAAAGGTTGATAACATACAAATTGTGAGTCACTTAGTATTACAGATGACTAATGCCTTTGACGATAAGCAAACATCCACGACAGTTTGAACTCCTTGGAATTTACCAACTGGCGAGAGAGAATGTAATGAACAAACATTATAGAGAATGTACAGCATCCATCTTCAAAAATTCCCAAATTACGAAGCATTTAACATCGCGAAATGATCGCCCTCTAATGCGGTCTTGATCAGCTCGATCCACCATAGGTTAAAATAGTTATTGACATGTTTCTTTCCCGTTGGCTCAAATCCTATTTCAAACAAAATTTTTTGAACACATGATTCGTCCATGACAACCTGATAATAAGAAAACCAAAAACCAAAGTTGTTAGTTGGAATATAGAAAAGAACTGTCAAGAACAAGATAGAGAAGTAGAAATATTGATTGAATAGCATAGTCAAAGTTAAAACTATTTTATTAACCCTACATTGTTCCATACTATGTAGTCTCCAATGTTTTAAAGCATATGTTTTCACTGAACGCAGCAATGTATGGATACAATACATAGTGTGGCCTCTAAATACTAAGACAAACCCGTAAGTAATAAATCTAAACCCTAATAATGGATCTATAAACCTCAAATAGAATTGATATAATATACTGTAAATTTTTCATACTATAATAGACCTAGTATGAAACTTCTTTAAGTAGTATAGAAGGGGTAGTTTACTCTATTTCCATTAGTTGTTATTATGCTAAAATACTAAACCCAAGAAAACCCGTAATTAATAAATCTAAACCATAATCATTGATCTATAAATCTAAATAGAATCTATATACTATGTTGTAAATTTCTCGTATTGGACTAGACATAGTATGGAACCTCTTTAAATAGTATAGAAGGGGTCGTCTACTCCATTTCCATCTGTTGTTATTATGCTAAAATACTAAACCTAATACAACCCCTTAATTAATAAATATAAACTCTATTCATTGATATATAAACCCAAATATAATATATATAATATGCTGTAAATTTTTCGTATTCTATTAGACAGAGTATGGAACCTATTTAAATAGTATTGAAGGGGTAGTTTACTCCACTTCCATAAGTTGTTATTATGCTAAAATACTAAAAGCCAAGATAAACCCCTACTTACTAAATCTAAACTTGGATCACTGGTCTATAAATCCAAATAGAATCTATATAAGATGTTGCATATTTCTCATATTGTGTTAAACATAGTATGGAACCTTTATAAATAGTATAGAAGAGCAGTTTACTCTATTTCCATTAATTGTTATTATGCTTAAATACTAAAAACCAAGAAAACCTCCTACTTACAAAATCTAAACCCTAATGAGTAATCTATAAACCCAAATAGAATCTATATAATATGCTGCAAATATCTCGTACCATAATGCACAAAGTATGAAACCATTATAGAAGGACGAGCAAACACATACACTATTCTAGCAGAATATTTGGAAGATGTCAAATACACAAAATAGAATAGACTACTCAAAGTCGAGATAGTATAGTACCACACATAAAAAAAGATGGCTCAATGCTGAAGCACACAAAGACGTAGATAATCCAACATACAACTGGAAAAATCATTACGGTTAAGATTTGTGATAATGAAATCAAAAAATTATACATGCAATTTCAGAATCGGGATACCGAATCGGCAAAAAGAAACTTACAATAGGATACTAGAATGTTTTTATTAGATCCTGAGAAATTGAGATGATGACATCAACATATATTACAATCAATCGCATTGGAAAATATCAAGAATCGTTGACAATGGAGAAGATAGGATGAAAAGATTAATGGTAGAGAAAATCAATGATATTAGGAGAGGTCGACACTAAATCTGAGTTTTGGAATTAAAAGGCTTTATGTCCATTTAAAAGATAATCATAATTCTTAAAATATTTTCGAAAAAAATTCTTATAGCTTATATTTTGACTCACACAACCAGTCACTTAAATAAAAACAAGGATAGAAATTTTAATTATACATATTATACAAAGTATATAACAGCGACGTCATCAAATTAGATAGATAGTGAATTATTATTTGTTTGAACGTTATACACGCAAATTTCACAAATTTTTATGCCTAGATATTCAATGTCTTCTCTTCAATTTACATTATCATATGAAAAATGTTACATATAATCAAAACCTAACATTTTAACAACATCCAAAGTTAATCCACCATTATCATTCACTATCATACAAGCTTTTATTTGATTCATATATCTTCTTCATACGCATTTCAACGTGTGTTCTCTCTGCGGCGAGAGTTGTGAGTTTTGTCTTGTGCTCTCTGTGGCTGCGGCTCAACTCGCCTCTGCCTCTCTGGTGATCATTGAACTATCCCTCCATTTACATACAGCTCAGCTGAAAATTTAAGAAGATACGAATCAGGAATTACTAGATCACTGTAAATGTTCTCTTGAGTAACACTTGAGATTTAATTCGAGAAATGTAGAAAGTTGATGTATCTCTCCTAACTGAGTCTATGTTTCTTCTCAGATGTGAAGAGCATAGAACAAGAAAGAGAGATTTTGGATGTAAGTCCATTAGCATTCAAAGCTAATCATTGCCAAAACAAAAGAAGACAGACAAGTTAGTTTTGCCAAGATGGACTTTAAGCTCCATTTTCATGATTTCATCTCGACAAATCTGCTTTCAAAAACATGACATTATTCTGATGTGCACGCCACGCCTAGAGAAAATTTGATGTTAATCCACTAGCACACAGAACTAACCACAGTCAAAACACTTACTAACTTCCCTAATATGGACTAACTGAAGCATGAAACAAAACAGCGGTGCAATATATGTTACATCTCAACCGGCCTGCAGTCAGATATAATTTTACCCATCTGCAACAATCGGCTAAGAGAAACTTTGATGCGATTCCATTAGCATTCAAAGCTAATCATAGCTCAAAAAGACTCATTAGCTTCGCCAAGATGGACTCATAATCAAAACATTTCTGTCATATTTCAAAAGAGACGAATTGAGACTCTGAGAGTTGCAATATGAGTAGCACTAACAAAGACTTCATTTTGAACCATACCAAAACCAATAAAAACGTTAAATAAAAATAGAACAATCACCTCCATAATCTTTGTTTTTAGGATCAACATAAGAATCTGAAAGCAAAAACAGAACACCAGGCAACCTATCATAAACAAGAGCAACACTCTTTAACATTACTCAACACAAGCTAAAGACAAGGCCTTCAAGCTTAGTCGAAGTATCTTCATCAATCTCACACCCAAACCCTAAATACCTCTCACAAGAAACATTGTAAATCCCCTTCTTCGCCTCTCCCTCACTAACCAAAAACAAATACAACAGAATAATACAAAAAGGTACATCACCAAAATCAGCAGAGCACATTGATGATTTATCTTCCAATGACTTTAGCTAAGGTTTGGAGGTAAACAATCAATCATCTCCTGCTTCGTCGCACCTTCTCCACCAGGTTTGTCCATCACGATGAGCCAGTGCTCGCAATCGCACCCCGGAAACAGAGGTGCAAGGCCTAACTCTTCCTTCTTTGTCTGATTCGAAGGGGCCGCTGAAGTTAGACCATCTCTAACCCACCTATATTTTCATCTCTATTATGTCTCAATAATAGAGTTTCTCTATTTATAGAAAATAAAAATAAAAATGTACATTGGAGATGCTCTTAGAGCCTGAGTTAAGCTACGAGTAAGCTGAGCCTAGCCAGTTTGTTTTCTGTATTTTATTAGTTAAATTGATATATTGGGTTTCACATATCTTATATATTAAAACCGAAGTCATGACTCATTTCATGTGTGGTTTTTTAGTTTGGACTATCTTTAGAAAATTTATAATGCATAACATCTTATAATATCTTTTCATATTTTTAATTTTTATTTAAAATACAAATAAATATTTTTAAAAAAAATTTAACAAAATCTTTTCAAAATCTTTTAGAATCTTTTCAAGATATATTTTCTAAAATTATTTGACTAAAATTTTAAATATCATAAAATATAATTTAAATTAAATT